GGCTACACGGGCACCTACCCCGTAGGAATGCCAGGGCGGTGTTCTGGAAGCTTCTGATCATGCCCCGTGGACCCTCCTTCGGCCTTGGGGCGTGGGCGGGGGTGGGAGGCAAGGTGGCCAAGGTCGCTGCCTCGGCTGGGCCCCCAGGGCAGGTCCCCTGGGTCCGGGTGGGCCTGATGGTGTGGCTGGGTGTGGGTGGGGGCAGCAGGGGTGGACAGGGATGAGTGATGTGGGTGATGCACAGGTGGAGGCATGGAGTGGGGCTGTGCAGGGGGTCGGGCTGGCACTGTCCTCTCACCTGTCGGGCGCTCACCTGATCTACAGGCCAGATCCACGTCCTTCTCGAAGTCGGTCTGTAGGACAGAGACGGCAGGGCAGGGTGAGCGCCTCTGGGAGCGGGGCTGTGTGCACGCGTGCACAGATCGCTCAGGAGGGCCACGGTGCTTCGGCTGCCCCAAGGAACCCCCATCCACGTTCACAGCCCAGTGCCCACGTGGGCGACCGCGCCTCCCTATGCGCTTGCCTGTGTGGCGGGCGTTTGCGTCTCTGGATGGATGCATGTGTGAGTGTGAGCGCGCATGCGTGCTTATAGATATGCCTGTGTATAAGTGGTGAATTTGTGTCCCCGTGTTTACGTGTGGATTTATGTGTTTGTAAACGTGAGAGAATGCGTCTGAGTGTTTGGTGCATGTACGTGTGTGTATATCTCTGTATGTGGCTCTGTGTGTTTCTGAGGTTGTGTGCGTGCACGCACGTACGTGTGTGTGAGCCTGTTTGTATAGCACACGTGTGCTCTCTGCAAGGCATCTGGGGAGCTGAGGACCTCCTGCCTCCTCCGGTCTCATCTCTTCCCCTAGGCGTGGGCCTGTGGCACCAGAACTCTCACCCTTGGTCCCCCACATCCCTCCAAGGGGGTCCTACCCACGGGCTGGGGAGAGGCGGTGGAGGGGGGTTAAACATGCAATTCAGGGCCAAGGCCAGCACCCACCACCTCAGGCAGCCACAGCAGGCTGACAGTCAGCTGGGGAAGCAGCAGTGGGCGGCCCAGGCCCACCCTCAGGGAGCTCAGGGCCTGCCCAGGCCTGGGGCTGTCCTTCTCCAGGGGCCCTGGGGCTCCAGGGGACAGGCCTGCCCTTCATCGAAAACCTGGGGGTTTCTTCCCTGCAAATGCAGGGGTTGGGTTGGCTGGAGACAGTGAAATCTTCCCCCTGGGATCAGAGGTCAGGCCAGGAGAAACACTGCGGGCGGAAGCTGTGTCCCAAAGTGACAAGCTAGCCACTGGCGGACACCTGCGCCCTGGCCGATGGAGATACTGTGGCATGGAGCCGTGAGGGGCCTGCCTGGACGTCACCTGAGAGCCGAGGTGGCCGTCTCACCAAAGGACCTCACGCTCACCCGGGGCTGGACGTGCCATCTGTCCAGGACAGGCCCTGCCTGTGAGCTTCACGACCACCATGAGATGGCCAGGCACCCCGGGACCCTGGGAGCACCTCCCACATGCCAGCCGTGCGGCGTTCACCTGGGGTGTGGCCTAAGCCCAAACAGATGGCCCGACAGGGCAAGAGTCAGGGAGGACTCCCTGGAGGAGGGACCCACGGGAGCGTGCAGGGTGGGCAACCCCTGGGGTGGAAGCTTGGAGGACTCCCTGGAGGAGAGGACCCACG